ACACTATACAATAATGACGATCAATGGATTACTGCTATATTCAACATCATAGATGAATCTCACAGGTAACCTGTAGAGTGAAAGAAGCAAGACTCACAAAAGTACACGCTGGATGATTCTATTTACGTAAAGTCCGATAACAGGCACAAACCAGTGTATGATGATCACGGTCTCAACGATGGCTACCTCTGTCAGGTAATGATTAGGAGGGGGCACAAGGGAGGTTTCTGGATTGCTTGCAGTGTTGTATACCTTGATTTGGGTGGTAGTTATATAGCTGTGTTCACTTTGTAAAAATTCATTGAGTCCTTCCCTTATGATTTGTGCATTTTTTCTTACGTATGCTATAATTTAAAAAAGTTTAGAAAAAAAATTTCCATTTTTCTTGAGCTAGCTTGAATGCATTACTATTCCTTATAACCAAACACTTCTTGACCAAGCCAAGACTCCAATCTCCCTTGCCTGCACTATCTCCTGTAACTCTTGGACCAACACCTGTTGCTTTTGTCACACTAGAGAGAAGTCCCACGCTGGCCTTGCCTACCTGAAGCTCCCCAACACCTGGCACACACTGTGTAATTGGCCTCTGCAACATAACTTTCTTAAAATGCTGTCTTGACACAGTTTTGAAGCCCCTTCTTGAGCAGCTCATTAAGTCCACTCTCCCACCTCTCCCCTTTATCAGGTTCTCACACTCCTGGGCCACTATGCACCCATCCTAATTGCTCCAGGGTCGGGTGCCCAACAACTAGGGACAGCCCCTATGCGTCCTGAGCCTGCAGAATTATTCAAAATGCCCAATCCCCAGGAAATCCGTGAAATCTAGCTAACCCACTGCCATTCATATGCCATCTCCTACAATTCCAACATGTTGCCATGTCCCTGAGTGTAAGCCCCTGTGTGCCCTGCATCATGGCGTGCTGTCCCTCCCTGTCTCCGGGAACTGTGAGTATAAAAAGCCTGGTTACTTTTCATTGCTGCCCTGACTCCTCTTTCCTATGTGGCACCTCACTTGCCATCCCACAAATCTGTTAGAATAGCCCCCTCCAAATAACTTCTGCTTTCCATTCCACCTTCTGCCTTACCCTATGCCTTGTTCTTTCTCACCATTCTTCAAAACTCAGCTCAAACCTCTTCTCCAGGAAGCCCTCCTGCTTGTGCCACACGACTCGTGTGGCTCTTTCTCACCTTCCATGTGTTCTCACTATGGGTACTATGACCTAGCTTCCTATCCCACTGGGCATGGCCTCCTGAGAGACAGGTCCTTGTCTCTGCAGGGATCATAAGGAGTGATTCTTGGTAGGAAGGTTTGAGACACTAGGGCCTCATTCATTCATTTACCCTGCCAAATCACCAACAGTCATTTTGTGCCGGCTGTGTGCCAGACCCATGCTAGGTTCCAAAGAATAGCAAAGCAGTCTAGCAGAAGAACCTGAAAAAGCCAAACCTGTTGCAGTCAAGTCAATTCTGACTCATAGCGACCCTACAGGACAGGGTAGGACTGCCCCATAGGGTTTCCAAGGAGCAGCTGGTAGATCCTAACTGCCGACCTTTGGTTAGCAGCTGAGCTCTTAACCACTGTGCCACCAGGACTCCTTCTAGCAGAACAGATGGACAATGATCACATAATCACACACATATATGCAATGACACCCAAGGATTTGGCTTGTGAAGGAAAAGTCCAGACTGTTATGAGATGGAAAGAGGGAGACCTGAGCTCATCTGGGGGCTCAGGGAGGGCTTTCCTTAGAATGGGGGGTTTGAGGGGAGAAGGATGAGTTAGCTGACAAAGAGTGGAGCAGGGGCAGAATGGGGAAAGGGAGTTCCAGGCAGACGGAACAATATGTGCAAGTGGGAAAAGGATGGCAGGTTCTAGAGGATAGCTTCTAAAACCCAGAGGCCAGGGAGTGAGTGGCACAGGTGGCTGGAAGGCCAAGTGGGGCTAGACTGGAGAAGCCCTTGTGGGTTCTGAGTATGATTTGGGGAAAGCACTGAGGGAACTGGGATGCCTCCCAAGATTTTAAGCAAGCAAGGCGCCCCGTGATCTGGTGTGGGGTGGGGAGGGGCTGTGGTTTTGGCCACCTGGAAGTCCAGGGCTGGAATTCCTGGGAGCTGGGTATTTCTGGCTTGAGCCTGCTTACCTACAACCTGGCAGTTCCCCATAGACTAGATGGGGACTGTAAGTTCCTTACCGGGGGAAGTGCCCAGGGGTAGCTGCGTGGCTGAGGAAGGTCCCTGTGCAGAATCACAGGTGCACCTGCAGGGAGTCATTGTATTATGCTATGATTTTTTGAAAAGATGGACAGATGACCCAGCCTAGCCCTTTGGGGGCAGTTGTACCCACGTGGGCTTCTGTGTTCTGACTCCAGGTGTTCATTCTGTGTCCTGATCTTGTTACTGAGCAGTTCTGGTTGAGCTCAGTCATTTTCTAGCTGGACAAGGCTGGGCAGAGGGGGTCAGCATGGACACTCAGAAGGGAGCTGGACACCTCACTGTGCAGTGTGGCTGCAGGGCATGCTGGGAAGAGAGTGGGGAGGACCTGGAGAGGGAGGAGGGCACACTAGGACCGGAAGAGGGTGACAGGTAAAGAAGCACTTTTGGAAGCTAAGCCAGGGTGTGGTGCCTTTGGCCTGTGTACAGGTTGGTGCTGAGATTCAGGGGAGGAGCCTCAAAAATGTCAGTGGAACCATGCTCAAAGTCAGGGGCCCTCTGAGCTTCAGCACACAAGGCAAGCAGGAGACAGGTGGGTGGGGCAGGGCCAGCCCCGGGAAACGCCTGTAGGACTGAGGGCCCTGGCCTGATGGCTCAACACATGGAGGGCAAGGCTGTCAAGTGTAATAAGAGCAAATTCTTCTGTGGTACTTACTACATGCCATACACTGTTCTAAGCACTTTACAGATAACAATTAATTTAATCCTCGCAACTCTAACAGGTGTGCCCATTTTGTGGATGAGGAAACTGAGGCACAGGGTATTTTGCCCAAGGTCACACAACTAATTAGCAGTTCCCAGGAAGCAAGTCCAGGTGGTCTGGCTCTGTGCCCACTCTCTTAGCCACCATGCTAGGCTGCCTTTCTGTGCTGAGACACTCACCCACAGTGGGGCTATGGAAAACAGAACCAGCTGCAGCACCCTGGTAGGTCTGAACCTGGGAGCCCGGGAGATCAGAGGCCTTGGCCTGGAAGAAAGGTGTCTTTCACTAGGTACTGGGAACCCCTTAGAATGACTGAGGGCCCCTGTAGATGGGCCTCAGTCTTCCCAAGATGCGTGGACAGCACTGTCCCCTAAGCTCAGCTGGCAGGGGTGCTGGGCAGTGATGCTCAGGCTCCTACGGCCCATTCTCACATCACTCATTCATTGACTCACTCAACAGTCATTCCATGGAGCACTCACTATATGGTGTTCTAGGTGCTAGGAGCGTATCAATTAACAACTGAGAGTCTTCCTTTCAGTGGTGTTAGGGAGAAAGGGAAGGACATTGAACACATACAATTATTTAATTACAAACTGCGATAAGGGCTTTGTAAGAGAAAAACAAAGGGCTATGATAGCATTATTATAAGAAAGATGCCCTAGTCTTCCCTGGGAATGATTTCCTTAGGCCTGTGATTTTCAGTGAAGTTCCATGGAACCCCAGGGTTTTAAGCAGGTTATTTTCAGAGCTATCTAAATGCTCAAGTTAAATTTGATTTTTAAAAAAACGTGTGTGAATGCGGGCTTGCACGTGAGCATGTGTATGAACCGGATTCCCTGGGTGGTGTAAATGGTTAACGCTCTTGGCTGCTAACCAAAAGTTTGGAGGTTTGAGTCTACCCAGAGGCACCTCAGAAGAAAGGACTGGCAATCTACTTCTGAAAAATCAGCTACTTAAAACTCTATGGAATGTAGTTCTACTCTGACACATGTTGGGTAGCCATGAGTTAGAACTGACTCAATGGCAACTGGTTTATGTATGAACTATACATTTTTTAAAGTACTCTTGTATCCTCAAATGTGTTGTACACAATGCAGACTGCTAGCTCATTCAGGTATTGACAAATTACCTTTTTTTTTTTGTGTGTGTGGACCTTGGAATGAAAGAGCCCTAGTGGCACAGTTGTTAAGAGCTTGGCTGCTAACTAAAGGTTGGCAGTTCGAATCCACCAGCTACTCCTTGGAAACTCTGTGGGGCAGTTCTACTCTATCCTACAGGGTCGCTATGAGTCAGAATCGACTCAAAGGCCATAAGTTTGTTTTGGTTTGGGATAAAGCTCACCAGTCATTTCTGAGCAGTTATTCAAGTTTATTGTAAATGTGTCACTGATTGGGAAAGATGCAAACCAACAATGTTTTCATTTTATTTTTTAAAATTCAAGGGTGCACATGTTGGGCAAATTTGTTTAGTTGGATTCACCATAACTTATTTTTTATGAATTATGATTTTCTTGCTATTAGTAGCCAAGACAAAATACAGAAATGTATTGAAAAGTACTGAATGCTGAGGCCAATGTCAGACTTTAAGTATTCATCCTTAGTCTTGGATGTCAAATTGTCACAGCCACAGTTGTCTTTATTAAGTTTTTTAAATGATAAGTAAATGTTAGATATCTGAAAGTGTACATTATCTGTATTTTAAATATTGATATTCTGGGTAGGATTTCAGTTAAAGAAAACAAGTTTGAAAATGTCTACTTTGCAGGTGTTGGAGACCTGGGCTGCCTCCTTGCTGTTCCCTCCCCAGTTCAATCTCAGGCCCTCCCGCAACGTTTCCACCCACACCACCCTCCCAAGGCTCCTCATTCCCTGCTGGCCTGGAAATTCTTAATGGACAACTCATCACTCTAGAGGGAAGACACAGCCTAAGGAGAACTAGGACAGAAGTAGGTCCTCAAACCAGGAAGAAAAAGTCTCCAAGTCCCAAGCTCTCACGGAGCTCCGGCCCTTTTTCCAGAACCTTGGACAGCAAACAGCCCCACCTCTCCACAGGCGGGAGGAAAACCAAGCTGAGGCTGCATACTCACCCTTCTTGGTGGCTTCAAAGCTGTCATGGAAGTGGATCCTCTGGATGTCGTAGGTCAAGGTTGTGTTGGGCAGCAGAGTCCTGTTCCTGTTGATGATGTTGGCAGAAAATCGAAAGGCGTGCTCCTCCGCATTCATGACCTGGGCATTGGGGCCATCAGCATACTCAAAGATTCCTCCTGCAGGAGATAAGAAAAACTGTGTGTGGGGAAGCAGAAGGGGGTGCTCTAACAAAGATGCTTAGCTCAGAAGGTTTTATGGGCAAGGTTTCTCCCCCTAAATGTTCAATAATACCCTAGATAATTCTCATACATAGAAATTGTGCTGGAGCATAGGAAATATGAAAATCTGCCTAGTTCTTTTCACTCAACTATCAAATTCCTGATAACCGGGCCTGACAAGGATGGTCCCCCCAAACAGAATTACCAGCTTATTAATATTGCCGTGAAAATTTTCAATAGAGTGCTGGCAAATGGAATCTACCAGAATGTTACAAGGATAACATACCATGACCATGTAGCATTTTATTCCAGGAATGTAAGGGTGGTTCAAAATAAAGAAATCTATGAATATCATTCCATCACATGTTCAAAGGAGAAAAAAAAATATGATAAACTTGCAAAATTCAGAAAGGAATTTGATAAAATCCAATTTCTACCACTGTTAAGAATGTTTAATAAAACAGCACCAGAAAAGATACTTCCTTGAAGCATCTTTAGCTCAAATCAACCTCCAATATTATCCTAATGGTGAAACACAAGAGGCATTCCCATGAAAGAGCAAAACAAAAAAACAAAAAAAACAACGGGAAGGGGGTAAAAATTCACACACTGCTAACCACTGAAATAAGAAAGAAAAAAGAATTAAGAGGTACAACTATTGGAAAGACAAAATTCTTATTTGCAAATGATATAAATGCCTCTTTCAAACCCTTAAGATAATCTTCTAAACATGAAAACTAGTCAGAGCTAATAAGGGAGTCAAGTTAAACGCCGAGTTCACACAAATTAATAATGTTTCTTTATATCAGCAACCACCAGTAAGAAAACTTAATGACACCATGAAAATACTCAATAACTAATAATAAGCCAAATACGAAATGTACAATTCCAGTATTTAAAAATGACAAGAACAAAAACACTTTTAGGGAGATACATAAAAGTAAACTTAAATGTCGTGTTCCTGGATAGTAAGGTTCAATGGTAGAGGTGTCAATTTTCTCCAAATTCATTTTTCAGTTTAGTACAATTCCAATCAGAATCATGGAAGGATACTTCTTTTGCTTGATAAGATGACTTTAAAATGCACCTGGAAGGCTAAACAGGAAATAACAGCCAAGACATGTTCTAAAAAGAAGGATTAGAGGTGATGAGTACTGCCAGATTTAAAAATGTATCAAAAGCCAAGTAATTAAAACCACGTTATGATGGCATATGAAAACACACAGATGGATGGAGCGATATTAAAACAGTCCAGAAGCAGGCTCATGATAAAGGTGGATATTTTCAATCAACAGGTAAAAGATGAATTATTCTTTAATCATGCTGAGATAATTATTCAATTATTTGGGAGAAATCTAAGCTGAATTCGAATCTTAATCCGTACATCAAAAATAAATTCCAGATGGCTGAAAGCTTAAATAGTAATCAAGTAAGGGAAGGAGGAAAGAAAACACAATAAAAGTACCAAAAAAGAAAATACAGATGACTATTATACAATATCTTGGTGGAGGAGATCTTTCTAAGCATTTCAACAAGGGCAGAAACCATAGGAGAAGATTGGTAACATCACAGAAATAATATAAAACTTCCATATATCAAAACGACCATAAACAAAATTAAATGGAAAACGACAAACTTGGAAAAATATTTGTAACATATACGGCAGCATAAAGGTTGCCATTCATATTTTAGAAAAGGCACTTAAAGCTCAGCCAGAAATAAGACAAATATTCCAATAGAAAAATGTGCAAAAGACAAGTGTGGATGTTTCACAAGAGGAAAAAAATAGTACAAATAAAGTATTAACATATGAAGAAATGTGCACCTTTGCTAATAATCAAATAAATGCCACTTAAACAAATATCAATATATCATTTTTTTGCCCACCCAACTGGTAAAGATATAGAATAATTTATAACACCTAGCTGTGGCAAGGGTGTTTGGAAACAGGCATTTGCTTAACTGTTGGTTAAGTGGAAACACACATCTAGCTTCTTGTGATGACAGAAAAAATATCAAAAGACTCAGCATTTCAGTTCCTAGGAATTGACTCCAACAACAATGAACACACATTCTGTATTGCAAGCATGTTACTTACAAAAAGGGAGGGGAGACTACAAAGATCTTAAACATCCAACACCAGAGAAACAGTAAATACACTGCAGTATATCCACATAATAGCAGAAATCTAATGACGTGGCAAGTATCAATGACACATTTTTAAGTGAGAACGAAGGCTGTAAAGCAAGAGGTGCAGTATGGCCCCATCATAGGAGGAGGAGGATGAAGGGTGTATCTGCACTGATGTAAGAACAGAAGGCCTTTAAAAACAATACAAGTGAATAGTCCTGTGCGGTGGATGATGAGTTGTTTTTATTTTGTTCTTTGTGTTTTTCTAGGTTTTCCAAATTTTATGAGTAAACCTTTATTCTTTTTTAAAATTAACTTTACTGAGTTACTATTTACATTTCACAAAATTCACCCTTTTAAGTGTGCAATGATTTTTAGTAAATTTACTGAGTGGTGTGACCATCGCCCCAATCCAGTTTTAGAACCTGTTCGTCATCCCAGTAAGATCCCCCGTGCCCATTTACAATTAATCACTGTTCCTACCCCTGCCCCAGGCAACCACTAATCTATTTTCTGTCTCTAGAGGTTTGCCCTTTCTGGACACTTCAGATAAATGGAATCATGCGCTATGGAGTCTTCTGCATCTGGCTTCTTTCATTTCGCATGATGTTTTTGAGGTTTATCCATGTTGTAGCACGTGTCAGTACTTCATTCCTTATTATTGCTGAATAGTTTTACCTTGTGTGGATATACCATATTTTATTTATCCACTCGCCAGTTGATGGGGATTCGGGTTGCTTTAATTCTTTGAAATTAAAACCAAACCAACCAACCAACCAAACAAAAAACAGTGAATGTGTTAAAAAATGAACAAATACATGCCCCCCTCCCCAGAGTACTATGGCAGGCTTATAATTTGCAACACGGAAGTGTGCATGCATGTGGGTCTATGTGCACATGCATACACACGCTGAGCACGTGCATTAAGAAAAAGACAGAAGAATGCATATCAAAACGTTAAGAAGAGTGTTTTTCTCTGAGTGGTAGGGTTATAGTTGACATTAATTTCCTTCTTTATGTTTTTCTGTATTTTCAAAAAGTTCTGCAGTGAACATGTGTTATATTTCTAATCAGAATAACCATCCTGTGATTGCGTGTACGTGTTTGACGGAAAATAAATGATCAAAATACCATATGACCCAGTAATTTCATTTCTAGGAATATAAATTTAGAAAAAATTGGAGACACAAAAACACATTTACATTTAAGGATATTCTTAACATAATATTGAAAAAAATAGGAATAATTTAATGTCCAAAAGCAGGGTATTAATCAGTAGATTAAAACCCACCCATATGGCAGAACAACTGGTAGGCTTTGACAATCAAGGTATAGGATGACATGATTCTGTGCCCAGGATTGGCTTCAAACTGAGATGGGAGAGGTGGAGGTGAAGGGGGTGCAGATGGGGCAGAGAGGCCATGGGTTGATGGTTGTTGGGAATGAGTGATGGGTGCATGGGGTTCATTATATTATTCTCTCTACCTATATATTCCACCACCTGTCTGTCAGTTTGTTGCACTGTGGGGGCTTGCATGTTGCTGTGATGCTAGAAGCTATGCCACTGGTATTTCAAATACCAGCAGAGTCACCCATGAAACTCAGGTTTCAGCAGAGCTTCCAGGCTAGGGCAGACTAGGAAGAAAGGCCGGGCAATCGACTTCTGAAAATCAGCCAGTGAAGATGCTACAGATCACAACAGAATATTCCAATAGAGTACGCAAGATGAGTTCCTTGGGTTGGAATTCACTCAAAATACACAGTGGTAGCAACAAACAGACTCGAGAACATCATGATTGTGAAGATGGTGCAGGACCGAGCAACATTTTGTTCTGTTGTATACGGGGTCGCCATGAGTCGGAGCTGATCTGATGGAAACTAATAACACCTGTATACTACAGATAGTCTCCAGAATACAACATTCTTGAAAATCATGATACAAACAAGATAAAAAGAAATCACACTATTGCCATCAGAAAAAAGACACAATTGATATTATTTGCAGATGCTTATTATCATTCCCTTAAAAACGCTAGAGAATCAAGTGAAAACCTAGTAGAAATTAAACAAAAAGCTCATCAAACAGCCGGCATACAAATCCAGAGAAACCTATAGCCGTCTCATATATCAGCAATAAAGAGTTAGAAATTATAATAAAAAAAGAGACCCTATGCACAAAAGCAACAAAAAAATAAAATACTTTGCAATAAAGGCACAATTCCTATATCAAGAAAACTACAAAACTTTACTGGGGGACATAAAAGAAGACTTGAATAAACGGGGAGACATAACTTTCTCCCGGAAGGGAAGGCTCAATATTGTAAAGATGTCAGCTCTCCTCGCATTAATTTAGAAATTTAATGCGATTCCAATTAAAATCAAAAAGGACATACCAGAAGGACATACTCCAAAATGTTAACAGAGTTTCTATCTGGAAAGTAAAAAAGTAATGGGTCATTTTTGCTTAGTGGTTCTGTATTTTCCAAATCCTCTGCTTTGACCAAGAGCTTTGGTAATAAAGGGGTAAATTTTGTTTTAAAATGTTGATAAACAATACATAATGATGCAGAAAATTCTCATTGTCCCTCCCCCCAACAAAAGGCTACAAAATAGTATTACAATATAATATCTATTTATTAAGCAATAAAAGCAGATATTTATATTTATAGGAAAAACACTGAAAGTATTTATGCCAAAATGTTACCAGTGAGTATCTCTGGGTAAAGGGCATTTACGGATGATTTTTATCTTGTTCTTTGTGCTTTCTTGATTTTTACAAATTATTTATAATAAATACGTATCATGTTATAATATTAAAACGTTAAAAC